GTTTTAGCCTTTCTAAGAATTCAATGTACTAGTACCTATCATCAAAACATCATGAAAGATTGGTATTTGAGAGTCATTTTTATGTAAAAATGTATTTTGAAAGAATAAATTGATGGGAAATGTGTGGTTGAAAAATAAAAAAAAATTTGATTTACGTGTAATATTATTTTAATGAAAAATGTGTGGTTGAAAAAAAGAGAGAAAAAATACATTTTAAAAAAAAGGACACCAAACGGGGCATAAATATTGAACGTCTTGAAAGGAAGTAACACAAGATATTAGGTATTGCCAAACAATTCCTCCCCCAACACTACTCACAAGGAAAATCAGGGATGAACTCCTTAAGTTTTTAGGTAGCGTAGAAACACATTTCCCTAACATTTAAAGTGAGGTTCTGAACCACCAACATATACAAAATTGTAATTTTAGGTCCCTAACAGTAAATAAAAATCACGGGAAATTGAAAAACAAAATAGAAAGAAATGTAATCGGTAATTTTAGGTCCCTAACAGTAAATAAAAATTCACTGTCACAATCGTCCTACGTGATATATATACGACGGTTAGTGATTTGATATATGAGGTAAGAAACAATTATCACATTAATACATCAAATTATAAACTGTCATGTAAGATATCAAATAGGGTGATTATCACAATGAACGATTATGAATAGCATTATTTATAAAATATTTTTTTACGTATATCTAAAATTCTTCCCTACTTTTAATCATACATTTTCAAAAATTTACTATTTGAAAACTTGTTCTTCCAAATAAAAAATATATAGAAACTGTCAAATAAGGGCTAGAGAAGATCCACTGGTGTCAATCAGTTTCGAAGTAGACAAAATTTGGTCCATGCTTGTCTTGCATTTGGGTCCACACTCCATGTGGCCATGTAATTATTGCTGTGCAAAAATCAACCCCACCTCCACAAATTCTGGGACCAAAACTCGAATTATTTCCATATAAATTCAAAAACGTGCAAATTGCTTGAAATTCAAAAATACGAAGGATTCAGCATAATTTCGCAATCTGCATTTAACCCAAAAACAAAAAGAGTAAACCTCTTGCTGGTCCCCTGCAGAATATCGTCACTGTTTCTGTAATGTTAGAAGTCGACAAGAGTATAGAGAAGGGACATTTTTTCAATTTGAGGTTGTGCCACATTTTAATTACGATGAATAGTTTTTGTTATTGCACTTACGCTTTCAACTTTCATGTCCACATTTTGTTTTCGATGATAGTTTTTGTCCAAATATTTAGTTATGTACTTTAAAATGAGCGGTAAATATTTTATTAAATTGTTGTTATTTCTATTTTTTTTCTTATTGGAAAAATGTGCCTTATATGTCCTCCTAATGAATTTTTTGTACAAAAAAAATAAAAATCATCAACAATTTGTGTGTGTGTGTGTGTATATTTGTTACTTATTTTGTCAAATATTTTTATTTATTATTTATCTTTCTTAATTAGAAATACGTGGATAAGTATTTTTTTTTTCTTTTCTAATGAATCTTTTGACTGTCGGGGACAAGATATTCTAATTATAAAAGTTGCGAATATACGACAAAATAAAATTAGAGATATAAGTGCAACAATGGGTAAAATTAGGCACCTTCACTGAAATTAAAATTGGTAAAAAAGATCAAAATTGTGGTATTGATATAATTACCTAAATTATTTAGTCTGCAAATTTTATTCCATGAATGCTCATCTTATTTTCTCTCCTTGAACCACAAATCTAGGAGGGGACATGATCCAAATTTGTCCAATTGCATTAATTCATGTAAATTCGTGTATATCTTTATGGCTGATATATTGGTTATATAAAAATAATTTTAAAACCCAATTAACGTTAAATTATATAGCTAGAACTAAAAATCAAATTAGAATTATTTATATCGAGACAAGTGGGTTTCTTGGTTAGGTCTACATTGACGAGATAGAGGAGAGTTCTAATAACTCTTGCGGGAGATCAAATCCTAGACTTATGTCGTCTAGTTTAGGGTTATGCTTAACCAAATTAAGGATCGAGTTTATCGTGTCGAGTAAAGTTAATTGTATTGGTCAATTTTACATGTTTATTGACTAAAGTAGGAATATTATTGGCTAGACTAAAAGATCTAGTCGACCAAAGTTTTTATGATTTTTTTTAAAATCAAAATCTTCGAATAATATGATGAATTATATGAAAGAAAAAGCAGATTTTTTAACAGTAAAATAATCTTGGATGATTTAAACAACATAGGATTTTCAAACAAATAAATAAAATTCCTCTAAAAGTTTCCAATTTATTAATTAGTCAATTTGAACAATTCTTGATGTACATAATTTATATACATAGGGGTGCTCACACCACTCAGATGACAAGTGGCTCATCTCGTGCAGATCCCACTCTTATGTACACAAATTTTGTTCACCAAGCACAATCCAATCAATTTTCGTTTTCATTAGCAAACAACCATTTCACTTGTTTCAGAATTTTATTTGGATATATAGATACAAAAGATTAAAGCAATCTTTAAATTTATTTATTTATTTATTTGTTCCTCTTTTATATTCTGGATCGTCAATTAAAGCATTTGAAATTAAGGTTGTATCTTTTGTCATTTTCCCAACTATTATTGAAACAATTTTTTAAGAACATTGGCCCACTGTCTAGTGACGGGAAACTAATTCCAGACACAGAGATGCTTTTCCTCAAATATATGTAAATTTATAACCGACAAGATAGAAGATGTAAGATTGAATTAATTACATGAATGGTTACTAAACTTTACCATATGCTATTATTTAATAAATAAACTTAAAAATGTATTACAATGATCACTGAACTTTGCTAAATGTTATTTATTCATAGCTGAACTAAAAAAATGAAGCAGTAATAATTTGAATATTTTTGTATTTTTAAAATTTTTTTAGATTCGATTATTAAGTAGTAATAATTTCTTTTTTCTCAAATCAATCTCCGTGAAAGAAGAAACAAAAAAAAAAAAAAATGAAGGAAAAAAAGTTTAAAATCAAATCAACCTCATTTACATTGGCACTAATTCGAATATTTTTATTTTTTTAAAAAAATTTCTCTATCATTTTCTTTCAGTGTTCATACTGTTTCTCTTTCAATCTTTTTATACGAAATTCGAGTTACAGTGAACTAATACTCGTTGATTTAAAGATTAAACGTACTTTTCATTGTGATGGGAACTATATATCAAATAAAAATAAAAAAATTTCCTTCATTTTCTTGAGCTTTTTCTTTCATAGAGGTCAATTTGAGGAAAAAAATTGTTACTACTTAATAATTGAACTTAAAAATATATCTCAATGGTCACTAAATTTCGCCAAGTGTTACTATTTCATAATTGAACTAAAAAATGTGTCTCAATTTTCACTGAACTATGTACCGTATTACCTATCCATCATTCAAATTGACGCCGTTTGTTGAACTTAATGGATTTTTCCATTTGAGTGATGGATGAGTAACACGATTTATATTTTAATAATTGTTGAGATACATTTTTAAGTTCAATTATTAAGTAGTGACGTATGGTAAAATTTGGTAACCATTCATGTAATTAACTCATATAAAACTGTACTCAAAACATTTACTTATCACCGATAAACTAATCACCTATCAACTAGATTGTCAAATTAACGTTGATTTAATATCATATCCACGTTAAATTAATGTAACATGAGTCGTCCATTCAAACACATCTAAAGTAGCTTTGGTACTTTGTTCGAAAAAATATCATTGCATTTTGTGCTATTGTTCTGTCAAAAATCAACGAAAATTTGTCAAGTATTTTTCTGTAAAAATTCTGTCAAACATTTTATGTGCCTTCAGCGCAAATGAGGAAAGATGGTTGCATTCAAAACCAAGTCGGCCAGATAACAGAAATGACAAGGACGAATCACAAAATAATTTATGCGATCCGCAAAAAAGTGGAGAAAGGTGGATGTTTAGCCACCCGGTCGTAGCAGAGAGTGACACTGTTAAGCCTTGGCAAAGTGGTTGAGACGTCCAAAAAAAAAAAAAAATCATAATAATAATAAATTAAATACAACTTACATTAGGTTAGCGGTGAGAAATGAATATATGAAAAATGATATAATTGATAAGAAATGAGTTGAATCACAGGTCTTTTCATAATGTAACTAATGATACTATGAAAAAATGTCGAAATCTTGGCAAAAAAATGTTGTTGCATAAATAGAGATTTTGTTGCAAAAATAATTTTGCAAGAAATATGAGTCACAAAATGTATTTTACTATAATTTTCGATCGTTCATTGCATTAACAAACTTCCAACATTATTCAATTAATGCAGAGAAGCATGAAATAACAATAACATTTTTGTCACAAAGTGCAAATCAATGAATGCAATTTCCATTGCGTGGCACAAGCTCCACCAAAGCGTTTTAGACAATGTTGTAATTATTTTCTTTTCAAATAGAATAGAGGAATACACAAAATTTTTCCTAATCCTCTTACATCAACTACCCAAAAAAAGAAAATAATAATAATAATTTTAACCAAATGTTTTATGAGATCCATAATTTTTATCAATTTTATAAGAATAATGTTGCATGTAGACTGAGTTTATCGATTGTGACATGGCAACATTTCATTGAATTTTAGACAACAAATAAAGTTAAAACAATCAATTAGGTGCTATGTATAGAATGTCACATGACAACATTTCATTGAATTTTGGACAAAAATTTAACTTAAAACAACCAATTACGTGTTGCTTATAGAATGCCACATGACAACATTTAATTGAATTTTGGACAGAAAATTAAGTTAAAACAATCAATCAGTACTATCTTGGCACCTGCAATTTATTGTACAATTATCATTTTTTTTTTTTTTTGCTTTTATAATATCTACTAAAATTTTTATCAAAAATTTTGTCGAACAACCCTTAATAGACAGCTTATACTTAAATGTACATACTATTTGTACTAGTATACATGAGTACATACACAAAATTAAAGGAAAAGAAATTCCTTTCATCAGTTACCCATTGCTGATATCATCTCTCTATATAAAGAGGAAAGCTTGGAATCACAGTGAGGCTGACAAGGGAGGTAAGCTTGAAAACTCTCTATTGTTTAGCTGCATGCTCTTTATTTTCTTTTAGCACGTGGTGCTGCAGAAATTCAGAAGGAAAGAAGAAGCAGAGCATAGTAGATGGATTACTCAACGGTCTCGTGGTTCTCAGAACTAGTAAGAAACTTCACCTAGCTGAAGTACGTCGTTCTATAATACTCTCTCTCTCTCGGGTTAATGGCTACTGAAACTTAGCCTTTCCTTTTCCTGCGATTCCTACTTCTGAAAGTGCAGAAGAAGACAAAGCTTTACTTTTCCCCTGGATAATGAAGTGGAAAACAAATCTTAACCCTTCGTATAATAGCTATGAATCTATGATCATCTCTTACATAATTATTACCATAATATTACTTATAATGGCCATAATGGTGTCACATTTACAAGCATTAATATGAATACACATTGAAGAGAAGAATATTTAATGCACGCATGATCCAAACAGACAATGCAAAATTTAAGAACATGACTGAGTCATTAATTTTACAGGGAGTGGAAAATTCAATTTTCGAGGATCGATGTGATTTCACTGACTCATTTGATGAAGACTTGGCTGCTTTTCTTGGAGAAGAATCCCCCACTTTGTCTCCACAAAGTAATTGCTCATCAAGTCTGATTCGGAGTAGCAGCTCTTCCACCAATTTGCGCACTTCCTCGTGCATGGAAAAAAATGAAGTTGCCATCGAACAACCGTCGAAGCAGAAAGAGACTAACAATTATAACTTCTGTAGGCCTAATCCTGATCCGTTTCCTTCTTCTTCCACTCCAATCATTCTCAATTTTGGCAGTGTGAATTCTTTTGAAAGTCCTCAGCCACTGAACCTAAGCACCATGAATAGTGAAGAAAAGGCAGCAGTTTCTGAAGTTTTGAGAAAGCCTGTAGAGGTTACAAAAATTGAACCAACAATAAAGAAAACCAGTCGTGTCAGGCCTCCATCTCAAACCTACGATCATATACTTGCAGAAAGAAAGAGGCGAGAACATCTCAGCCAGCAATTTGTTGCTCTTTCAGCTCTAGTTCCTGGCCTGAAGAGGGTGCTGAATTTTTCATTGACTTCTTATCTTTCTGTTTTTCATTTTAATTATTAATCTGCTAAGTACATATCTTTTTTTTTTTTTTTTTAACAAAATTGGTACAGAAAGACAACTGTTTTCTCGTGATTTGCTGTTGTCAAAAACTGTTTTTGGAAAGACAACTATCTTTCTATATAGCATCCATGTCTATCTTCCTTACCCGTGTGCATATTTATAATGACATTTATAGCAAAATAAATACTCATGAACAAGGACAAACTGATTTCGACTAAAATAATAACAAATATTGACGTTGCAGAGGGACAAAATTTCTGTACTGGGAGATGCTATCAAGTATCTGAAACACCTCCAACAGCGTATGCAAGCTATCGAGGAACAATCAACGAAACAAAACCTGGAATCTGTGGTTCTTGTCAAGAGATCGAGGCTTCTAATGGAAGATGATGGATTGTCCTACGAGAGTAACAGTTCCAGCGAGCAGCAGTTGCCGGAAATAGAAGCTAGAGTGTGCAATAACGACATTCATCTCAGGATCCACAGTAAGAAACACAAAGGGGTTTTGTCGAAAGTATTATGTGAGGTAGAGAAGCTCAATCTCACCATAGTCAATATTAATGTCACGCCATTTGGAAGTTTTGCCCTCGACATTATTATTATTGCAGAGGTAATTACTCTTCTTAGGATGATATTTTGAACGCTAGCTCGTGGATTAATTATTTCTACAAATTACTAATTTATACTGAACGTGTTAACTTGTAGATGGAGGAAGAATCCAGCTTGACCGCGAAAGAAATTGTAAAAATTCTTGATTCGACCCTCCACCGTACAGCATAGCCAGTGCATAAGATTAATAATGAGCTAGCCCGTGATTCTGAGACACTTTGTACATAAATTGTGTTGAGCTTTCCATATTCCAGGAAGAGAGAAAATCAATGGAAGAGAAACTAGAGAAAAGGGTACATGCAGGGTTGAGCGATATCTTTAAGCGTTCAAAATTTGAGCAAGGGAAAGTTGAGAGGACGAGAAATATTATATTATGAATTTTCTCAATTAATAGTCTTCTTTTCATGTGATTGTTCGCAGCTTGCCTAACCATGTTAATTTGTATTTCTTTTTTTCTCTTCTGGACCCTTTTTGGGATTATTATTTTTTCACTGTGCATTTGGTGGGAATATTTTCCGACAAATGATCCAGAGCTTGTCTGGGTTTTATTATGCCCCTGTTTGGCCCCATTACGGGGAAAATTTAATGTATAGAATAGTGTTTTTTGAAAAATGAGTGGTTGAAAAAGAAAGAAAAATTTTCGATTTACGTGTAATATTATTTTATGGAAGATTGTGTGGTTGAAAATAGGAGAGAGAAAAATGTAATGTAATGTAATGAAAATCAAACAAGGGCTATAATTTGTTTATAATTTGAAGTGAAAATCAAACATTGATTTTAAGGCTAATTAACATATAACGTTCTTACCTTTTATTTTTTTGATATTTCTCTCTTAACTTTCATATGCAAAAGATATTTTTCATCCATTTTTTCAATTAAAAGTCGTGAAATGAAGAATACACTTATCTATGTAAATAAAACAAAAAGAAAAAGAAAGAATTAACTGCAATCATAGTTTCAAAATCTTTTAAAAAGTGCAAACGAATTTCAAATAAATTATTAAAAGGATAATTAGTGCACAATGTTCCTACTTTTGACTATTAATACGAAAAAGTCCATGTCTTTTATTTTTTGATATTTTCAGCCTTAATTACACATTTAATTGTGCAAATCATCATTTCTATGCATTTTCATCCAATTTCTCAATAAAGTTGTGAAATGATGTTACCGTTTTATTTAATTTCTTATTTTTTAATAACTTATTTGAGACTCGTTTGTACTTTTTAAAAAAAAAATTTAACTTTTTAATAATTTATTTGAAACTTATTTCCACTTTTTTTTAAAAAAAATTGGACTATGGTTGCAATTAGTTCTCTATTTTACCCCCATTTTTTTTTTAAAGGGGAGGGCATATTTTCTCATTTCTCATCTTCTTATCGAGAAATTGAATGAAAATAGTTAGAAATGATGGTTTTGCACAGCCAAAGGTGTAAATAATGGTGAAAATACTAAAAAACGATAAGTATGGATGTTTTTCACAATAATAGCAAAAGGTATAGACATTAAGTTTTAATTACTCTTTACTAATTTATTTGGGACACGTTTGCACATTTTAAAAAAATTTGGGACTATGGTTCAGTTAGTTCTTTCTTTTTCTTTATTTAAATAAAAATGGTATATTCATCATTTCATAGCTTTTAATTAAGAAAATAAATGAAATGACTTTTTGTGCAAAGAAATGTGGAAATAAGAGTGAAAATATCAAAATAAAAAATTCAAAAAAATCATAATAATAGTGAAATGTAAGGACATTAAATGATAATTATCCTTAATTTTAATAATACTGAAATAGTTCTGGTGCAACTCCGTGTCTTTTTTAGTGAAAGAGTGGTCTCTTGTCCTCCAGTGATCCTACAAAAAGAGGTTGGGGCTCCCTCCCACGTTTCACCTCCGACGTGAAAATCAGTAATCGTTTTAAGATAAAGGATTTTAAAGAATTGCAATAGTGACAGAGGAAAGTATTTTTTCTGGAAAAAGAAATAACCTCTTTACCTGACACGTCCATGGGATATTTATAGGCGTCTGACATCATGTAACCGTTGGGCAGTTGTCATCCACATGTCCCCATTAGTCTAGCATCATGTAACCGTCGGGCAGTTGTCACCACGTGTCCTCATGAGACCTGGCCGCTCCTCAAACAATTTTTTCCATTTATTCGAGTCCTGACGAGTTCCAATTGAGAGTGATGGTTCACTACTTCCAGATCTTCAATTTCCTCCTACTCGAGGTGTGCATGAAGTTCATATGGTCGATGTTTTCATTATGTCTGATCATGCCAAAGCTTTGTCTAGGCACCAGGTGGATGATGTAGAGAGGGTCTTGGCGATTTACAGAAGAAGGGTACCCCCCTCTTTCTATTTCTTCATTTTTATTCACATTTATACTTCGTGTAACAATCTTGCGTTGTTTCTACTATTTGCTTGATAGGTCTTGACAATGCAAACTTCTTTCGTCAAAGCAAGTCGCCTTCTCACTGCTAAATTAAAAGCTCTAGAGAAGGAAAAAGACAAGGAGGTGGGCGATCTCAAGAAGTCTCTCGATGTTGTGGAGGCTCATAAGAAGGAGATGGAATTTCGCATCAATGAACAAGAGAGAGAAATTGACAACCTTCGCTCTTTCTTGGCCCGTGCTCAAATCGATATAGCAGACCGTTATAAGACCTCTTCAGAGTATGCTAAGGACATGAACGATTATGGGGCAAAAATAATGGCAGCCTCTATTGCCCTTACCAAAGAGTGGGTAACGGTCGAGCATCCATCCATTGATCCCTCTGACTACGATTGCTTCTTGTTGCAACGTAGAGATAAAGAAAAAGTGACTAAGCAGACTAAAATATTTGGGCACACCAACACACCACGAAGAGGAAGTGGAGGAAGTTCAAACCCAGAATGACTTAGCTTTTTATTACTTGTTTAAGCTTTTCGTTGTTATCCCTTTTCGCCATTTGACTATTCAATAATTTTTTTCTTGGTCTGGGATGTGGAAAAGATATTATCTTTACATTTATTATGATTGATACATCGTGCGCTCAGTATTGTTATTGCTATTATTAATTTTCACTATTTTGATATTGCTAGTTTTTTACATTGTCATTTATTTCCTTTTTTTTTTTTGAGCAATTTTGAAGCGCAGAGTGCTAGTCACAGCTATCTAGCACCTTAGCAAATTTTAGCTCGAGAGCTTTTCGCTAGACCATATAGCGATTTTGAGCTAATCGATCGTTCATTTGGTTGCTCATTGCTGCCCTTTAAATGCCTTAGGATTGTAGAACATGAGATTTAATAATTTCGCCCTTTATCATTTTTTCTTCCACTATCAAACTGTAGAGCGATTTTGAGCTAACCCCTTTTGTTGGTTTTACTGCTCATCGCCATTCATTGATTGTCTTCATAGGGCACGGGATCTGGTGATTTTGCCTCTCATCCATTTGTTTGATTTTGAAAGCTTATCATCAGATCATACGGTGATTTTGAACCAACCAATTTTGTTGGTTTTACTGATCACCGTTATTTGTCGAACGCTTTCATAAGGCATGAGATCTAGTGATTTCGCCTCTTAACCACTTGTATGGTCTGGGAAGCTTACCATCAGACCTTGGAGCTATTTCGAGCTAACCATTTTTGTTGGTTTCAGTGCTCATAGCTATTAGTTGAACACCTTAGAAACTTTAAGGGGTGTTCTACAACTCATTCTTCAGTCAATTATATACCCAACTCTTGTATAGACACATAAATTTACCTAGATTTAGCGACTCAGAAGGTGCACCAGGACGTCCCAGCTAGGCTGGCCCTTCCTTAGCACTCTCATTATCTGCCACCATCTGTACCTTTCATTAAATAATTCGAACGATTACAACATGATATGCCTGCAATAGGCAATACATTACGGATACTAAAAGAAAATACTAATGACCATATTTACAAGAGACATTTGCTTATACATTACGAAAGCTAGTAAACCATCCTAACGACTATATCTACAGAACCTCTGGTATGACCTTCCTACTCGTCAACCTATTGATGGTACTTCTTGAGATGCTCGATATTCCACGGCCTGCCGAGTGGCTTTCCTCTCAGGTCTTTTAGGCTGCAAGCTCCTTTTCCAAGGTTGTGAATCAGCTCATATGATTCTTCCCAATTTGGCCCAAGTTTGGATGGAGGGTGCCCTGCTGCTACTGCTTCTCTTAATATGAGATCTTCTGGTTGAACAGTCCCTGGCCTTATCCTTTGATTAAAGTATTCAGCAGCCTTTCACTTGTAGGCTGCCATCCTTACGACTGCTTTCTCTCTTACCCCATCGAGTAGGTCGAGTTCGGCACTGGTAGTTACGACGTCAAGATGTTTAACTTTCATCCTATTGGTTTCATTTAGGATTTCTACGGGGACGATGGCTTCCATCCTGAAAGAGAGCTTGAAGGGTATTTTTCCTGTAGATTTTTGCGGAGTGTTGTGATATGCTCACATCACATTTGACAATTCATCTGCCCAAAGCCCTTTTCCATTTCAAATCTTGTCTTTAAATCCTCTAATATCGCCCGATTGGTTACTTCCGCCTCCTGCCTATTGGATTGGGGGTGAGCAACGGAAGTGAGTCTGTGATCGATGCAATAACTTTCACAAAAAGCCTTGAAGCCGTGGTTGTCGAATTGTCTATCGTTGTCAATTATAAGAACTCTTGGTATGCCAAACCTGCATATTATATTCTTCCAAGTGAAACTCTGCACCTTGGCCGTTGTGATAATGGCCAAGAGCTCCGCCTCAACCCATTTGGTGAAATAATCTATGGCCACTAACAAGAACTTCCTTTGCCCTTTGGCTATGGGTAGAGGCCCCAAGATGTCCATTCTCCACTGGAAGAAAGGGCATAACCCGAGAATGGCAGACTCCCGCTCCGCGAAAACATGAATTGAATTTTCGTGACGCTGACATACATCATACTTTCTCACGAACTCTTTGACATCATGCTTCATAGTTGGCCAATAATATCCCTATCTTAAGGCCTTGAATGCAATGGCTACCGCCACCTAATGGTTGTCACAGATCCCTGCATGGATTTCTAACAACATCTCATGTACCTCAGTTGGGCGCAAACATTTTAAGTAAGGCATGACGAAGCATCGCTTGTAGAGCTGCCCGTCGATTATGGTGAACGAAGTTGCTGGAGTTTTCAATCTCTTGGCCTCAAGAACATCCTCTAGCAATTTATCCTCCATGAGATGATCAATTATCGGGTCTATTCAACTTTTCTCATATTTCATGTGTACCATGTTGATTACATGCTGTACACTCGGGTGTCGTAGGACTTGCACGTTTGTTGTACTGTGTAGATTTTTTGGGTTTGGGAATGCGAACTTGGATAAAGCGTCTGCTCGCTCGTTTTTCTTTGCGAGGGACCTTGGTTATCTTGAAACTTGTGAATCCCCTTTATAGGTCCCCGACTTTCATCAAGTAAGCTGCCATCT